GTAAGTAGTAAAAGGCGAATTATAATCTTGTTCACTGTACATGAAATCATATTGTTTTTGAGTATTTGTCACTATAGATTGATTTGAAAAACTTGCAACAGTAAGTATGGATTAAACGATTTTGTCTGTTGTCAAACGAATTTACTTAAATAAAGGGTTTCTATTAGTGTTTATGACTTTTACCAACTTTTGATTTTCGTATCGGTGATTAGAGTGATATCTTCTAGGCTAATGTAGCTTATCTTTTCATTAACTATTTCATATCAAGAAGACCAAGATCCAAATCTTAAATAGTAAGAGAGTTGTGAGTAGTTCACCTCCCAGATTTCCTTCAAGTGATAGTGGAGGTTAACTCCTGGAATATTTATTTATTTATTTTTAATTATCGTTTGTCTTTTTTTTATGAACCAATGTAGAATGGACATTCCAATATCTCTATTAAGCATTCCAATTTTATTGTGTAAGGAATGTAAATATCTACTTTATTGTTCGCTTCTGTATTTAGATAATAAATTTATTTCTTTTAATTTTTGGCATTTACAATTGGTACCAGAGCCGCGTTCTTTAGAACCATTCCTCATATAAAAACTTAAAAATACCAAATACAAACTATCGCTCAATCATTCCTTATGAAATGCAGGTACAAGGATATGAGGAGATGAATGCCCCCACTAAACCAAGTAGCCTTGGATGGTTTGCTTTGAGAGGATTTGAGATGTTGTAGAGACTCATCTCTGTCTAGAAGGCCCGAGAGGAAAGGAGGGAGCTACTTGACCATTCTCTGTTGTCATAGTTTGAGCCACCTTTGCAGGGGAAAGATCCGAAGCCACCTCGGTACAACCCTGTTCCTCAACTGTATCATTTAACACCGCTACAGTACAATTTGGTGCCCCCAGCATATAACCAAGTGCCGCTATAGGGCCACTCGGTCCCTCCCCTGCACAATCCAGTCCCTCTTCCACAGGACCCGTTTTACCCGTGATGGACCCAAGCTACATTAAAAGGTATTAAAGACTAAACTCATCTACCTTTATAGGGACATTCTCTTTCAAAGAGGTCGAGTATTGGTTAGTTGAGACAGAGAAGGCCTTCGTAACTCTCGGGGTAGTTCCTGAACATAAAGTTTTACTTACCACCTACATGCTTATGAGAGAGGCAGGTCGCTGGTGGGAGCTCAAATAAGCCACCCTACCCGTTTCAGTTACTTGGGAATAGTTCTTAATGTCCTTTAATATAGAGTACCTCCTATAATACATTTGACATTTGAAAAAAATGGAGTTTGCACACCTAGTCCAAGGTGATATTACTGTGTTAGAGTATGCCCGAAAGTTCCTAGAGTTAGATCGGTATTTCTTCAAGAGTATAATGGATGAAGGCAGAAAGATAAAAAAGTTCAAGTGGGGCCTCCATCTTGAGATCATACAACAACTGTACGTATTTGAGCTCAACACCTACTCAGCCGTTCTGGCCAAGACACAGCTAGTAAAGAGGAACCTTTGTATATTTTCTCTAGTAGTGAAAAGTC